GTAGGGCACAAAGGATTGGGGTTATGTGTTCATGTTTCCTTGTGCGCGTGATGAGACGAGCTGCTGTGTTCTGGATATGTTGAAGTGCTGACAAATGGGAAATGGGTGAATTTATTAACAAACTATTACAGTAATCAAGGTGGGATGTAACAAAACCATTTACTAGACGCTCGGTGGAACTTTGGTTGAGGTACTTTCTGAGTTTCCCAATTTTGTGGATTCCAAAGGCAGCTGCTCGACAGGAGTTGCGAATGTGCCGTTTCACATTCAGGGTGTTGTCTACTGTAACTCCAAGGTCCCTAGCAAATTCTGAAAGAGTGATTACTGTGCCATCAATGTTGAAATCTCGTAGCTCACCAGAGTTAAGCCTTAAGGATGATGAATCAAGGATGATTTTTGTTTTATTGAACTACAGGAGACGGTATACATTTGATGCACAAACAACACTTACCACAACTCATGGTCAGTGTTGGTCAATGGCCCCCACATGGGAGGTCCCCCACATCCTGTTTTCAAGTACTCTCCCTCATGAGTCATGGAAACTCATGAATAGGGCACACCAAGCCCACCATAACCATGATAATTAGAGCACAAAGGCACACCAGACCCTGATCCCAGGGCACACCAGACCCTGATCACAGGGCACACCAGACCCTGATCACAGAGCACACCAGACCCTGGTGGGTACATAGGACACACCAAACCCTGTCACACATTCTTGTGAAAATTGGTCCGGTTTAATAGACAACTGGACGGAATAGCTTGACTTTTTGCTGCCTCAAACGAAAGAATTAAGAGAAGATGCAGAATTGGTAGAGACTGCCACTCAAGAGTGGGTCGTCTTTACAGCCACACGAGAAGTGTGAAAGACACCGATCCATCTTTTGTCGTGACAGCTAAACTTTTTCGGCGAGCTACACCATCGTCAGCCATGGATGTAGTGATGCCATAGTAGTTGTATGTATAAAAAGCACCAGGCAATGTGAGGGACTTGAATGAGCCCGCGACACTGCTAACCGCATTAAGTTCTGGGACCTAGTCGAACACATCTTCTGTCATGACACGTGCCATACACGTATTTCGAAAACAGCTTGACAATGTGTCGTCTCTTTGGACTGAATATTCACCAGAATAACTTGGGAATTGCCTGTAAATCATGAAGAAAATTGCGGTGGGACTTTTGATGGTCATCTGAAAGTTTTATAATGAACATAATATTTTGAGTCCTTGGATAAAATATTTTTAATTTTTACGGAAACGTCGTAGGCCTACCACTCATGAGTGCTGTGTTGTCCGTTGTCTTCAGCTGGACCAGTTGAAGTATCCGTGTTTTCGCTGCTCTCTTCTTCAGGCAGTTCCGGCTCAAATTGATTGGGAAGAGCAGCTAGGAGGTCACCGTTTCCTTGCTCGATTTACTCATCAAAAAAATGTGATGAACAGGAAACGGTTCATCTCTGTCACTCTCTGAAAAAACGTTTTCACCACTCGCCTGCGAGTCAGACATGTTGCAACGAACGCAGCTTATGAAGTTGGCCTGAAGAACCTGACGGCTGTTAACTTCAATTTTGCGCTTGCCGACCAACAAAACACTTGATGAATTTCAGTTTTATAAACATATACACACCCATTACAAAATACTGGGAATGTGTCATTATGAGCTGTATATGGATCTACTCTACAATAATAAAATGTTAAAAAATAGAGATTGGCATTTATTGAGTAACGCAGAGTGGTCGGGCTCGCATCTATTTCACGTCATAAACTGTACCACAATAATCAACTGAAAATTCGTTTTAAACATTTTTCAACCTGGCAAAAAAGAGGGGGCTCTAACATTTTAAGACAACATCCAGCGATGCACTGGGACTAAGAGACTAACACTGTTGAAAGCTTTTTCCACTTTCAAATTATAAGGCACTTCCAGTTGGACAGGAAGGAAGGGTCACATGATTTTGCATGTTATATCAAAAATGAAGACACTGGATTATTCTATCAAATCCCGTAAAAAGCAAAGTCAGATCCCTAACAGTTCATTTTATATTGATTTTCAAAGATTAAATCTGGAAATCTTTGGTTGCTTGTAATCTGATACTTGATGACGTCACCGTGATGTCATTACCAGAAAGCTCGAGAGCTATGTTAACTGTGCTGTTTGAAGCAAAAATCTGGATTCTATCTCTTGCGGTTGATTTTTCAGCAATTTTTAAGGTTCTAAAAATCTTTTTATTGCACATTCCGGTCTGATGACGTCATCAATCTCTTTTTGCACACAGGTCTTGTACATGTATGTCATATATATTTTGAATTCATTTTAAACATTTTATGACCTCATCGGTATTTTTTTGTAAAGTACAACCTATAACCAGAGACTAACATCGTTAAGCAAGTTCATATCTTTTTCCACTTTCAAATTATAAGACACTTCCAGTTTGGACCAGAAGGAAGGGTCACATGATTTGGCGCACACGAGATAAAATAAAGATCCTGGAATATGTTCTATATATCCCCGTAAAAGTCAAGTTCAGGTCTCTCACATTTGATTTTAAATTTATTTTCAAAGACTGAATCTACAAACCTTTAATTGATTGTAATTGGACACCCGATGACGTCATCATGACGTCAGAGTAATATGCAACACAGCACTAGGGATGAGGGTCAATATATGTGATGTAACTGAGTAACTGAGGTTAATTTGGGGCGTCGTGAGGCTTTAGTACGATAGATGACCCATCAGAAGTGGTTAGAAGGGGCTCATCTTCAACTGAAATCTCCCCAGGTAAAAAATCCACAATTTGTAGGGCTTTTGTCTCACCTTTGGGCATTTGTGGCAAATAAATGGCAGGGTCGAGATCCATCCGAGCTGCAGAACCCGATGCAGGTGTTGAGGTCTTGGGTGGTTGTGCCAGATCCTTAAAAAGTTCATGCAATGATGTTCCTGTGCAGGTTGGCTGGACTAGTCGTTTGGTTCAGGCAGGGGTTTGGCGACAGCACCGTTAGGAGTACCGGTAGCTTCATCAGCAGAGGTAGCATCATCAGCAGCATCAGCAGCAGCAACAGCACTGAGGGTGTCACTGGGGAAGTCAATGGCCGGCTGGCATTGGGGACATCCATGGATGGGACGTGGGCATGATGAGGTTGGGCTGGAGCTGACTGAGCCACTTCATCCTCATCATTCTGTAGAGTGGGTTGGAGAGTCCTGATGTCCTCTTGGAGCCGGTGTATTTGCAGCGCCGTCTCCAGCTGTTTCTTCTTGTCCTGTAGTTCTTGTAACTGCTCTGTCAATTCTTGGTTTGACTGGGCAGGGGACTCAGATTCTGTTAGGCCTGTTTGTATTTGAGACTGAGAGTGTAGGTCTTTACAGTGCGGTGAGGGGGAGACCCATTCATGCTGGTTGATTTTGATGCTGCAACCAGGGCATTTCCTACTGCATTTTCCAGTAAATGGCATTATGAAGAAAATTGTTGAAGTCAGTCCTGCTGCGGCTTGAATCAGAATGAAGCGGATCTCACTTGCCTTCACATTATTAACCCACTTTATGCCACATTCATAAATACCTCAGACAGTTTAGCTATTCCTATTGGTCGAGAGCCCGTCACGTGGCCGGTCTTAAACGGATGATAAAGACATGGCTAGCTGGTCTTAAACACTTTTCCAGTGTCACAATAAAATGTGGACTCCTAAAAATCCAGTGCCTCTTACCGTTTCATTGGTTGAACGTTCACAATCCTCACGTAGGCATGCGCAACACTACAAGCGAGTCAGAATTTCATAGTTCTAAATTCAAAACGCAACGCCCCAGGTGCGTTCTGCGTGACATCGCGCAGAACATGTTACACGCGCGTCAATCTCCATAAAAGGGTTGTTTACATCTTACTCGCCAGCTGAACACTCCATTATTTTGCTAGAGGGATGTTTCAAAAAGCATGAAGTGAACTTGTTGAACAAAATCGGGATTTTTTGAACGAATTATTTGATATTTTTTTACGGATAAGGTATTTATGAATGGGAATAAATATGTGCTCGGTCGGTATTTATCACTCTGTTTAATACCGCTTAGAGTCTGGGTGCTGATAATTACCCTCGCCTCCGGCTCGGGTAATTATCAGCACCCAGACTCTAAGCGGTATTAAACGAGTGATAAAAACCTCCGGAGCACACATTTATTCCCTTATTAAAACAATACAAACTTATTTCATGGAAATGGCCCCAGTGAATTGTCCATCAGTTCCCATGACTTATGCAGTCATGTGGTTGCAAAGGGCGATTTCTAAAGGTTACGTAACACTTCATTTTGAATGAAACTACATGTACACACACATGTTCACGTTGGCGGGCGAAATCTTTGAAAATTAATTTCTTCCATTCGGAAGACCGTATCTTCATGCAACTTTCAGGGTTTACTTCCCTCACAGATCCAAGTATGTGCAAAAATCGTTGTGATGTGTTTATTACTTTTTGTTGAAATTGGAAAAATAGGCCTGGCTACACGCACTTTTGAAAGTTGGAACACTAGCGTTTGCAATATCTGTCAATCTTTTCAAGCACGACGAATATTTATAAGGTTCCTATCCATTATGGTGTCCAGTAAAAATTTGGAGAAAAACCTCCTTCAAAAGTTATTAATTGATAAATATCACCCTTTTTGCCGGCTTCCATTGGTCGATTATACCGAGACCCACGCCAAACACGCCGAGTGACGCTGATGAATATGCTAATCTACCATACGTTATTGTGTCGCTTGGCTGGAATCGGTCAACCGTATCGCCTACGGCACTTTTCTGAACAACGCACGTCGGTTTTGTCAGCGGAAAATCCTCGTCAAAATTTTCCATGGAGATGGTTCTAGTTGGAACACTAGCGTTTGCAACAACAGATTCAGCTGAAATTCGGAAAATTCTTAGATGATTTAAGTGTTGAACTACTTGGAAAGACAACTTTAAAAGTCATCAACAAGCAAACTAAACGTGTTGCATACTTCCACATTTAACTATGTAACTTACCTTCTGACAAAAGATGAAGCTGATGTGCAGTCTTGTCAAGCATTCCATCATGTGTATATGAACACAATTGTACTGTGGATGGAACAGCAAATAACAACTCAGCCCATGAGTGTTGATGTTGTTGTGCCTGTAATAAAAAACAAACAAAAATGTTTCACTACAATATTCGGATTAATGAAAATAGCTTTCCTTGGCGAGGCTGATGTAAGTTCCAAGAGATTCTTTTTATCTTAACAATTTGGGTAGAGCAATTTTTATATCTATTTTTTTAAATTCTGATACTCCAGATTAGCTGTCACGACATTTTAAACATAAACAATTTGTTGATGAGAAAGAATAAATAAATGAGTAATCAATGAATGATTTGTTTTACTGGTCTTTTGTCGTTCTTTCATTTTTGTTTTGTCTTTTTTGGGGTTTATTTTAATTCATTTTGCTGCGTCATAGTTGCGAGTAAGGAGTCAAAGTTATATATTGGGTTAAGTTAAAAAATAATATAAGGGGAGAGGGAGTTTTCTTTTTATTTAATTCTTTATTTCATGAGCACAGGAATATCTCTTTTGTGAACATGTGTTTGGTTTGATTTTTGAGTTTTGAGTTTGAGTTTATACCTCAGATCTCAACAATTAGTGTTAACATATTTTATACATGGGCATAATATCAAAGATTTCAGTTCACCAGTATTTCATTTTGAAGTAAATTTTATCTTGTTTCTACCGCAGGTTATAATAAAATGTTTTCCGTATAAACGTATTGTTTCTGTGTGTGCTTATTCACGTGTTTCTTAAGATATTCTTTACAAGGGCAATGCAGTTAAATAATACAAAGTAAATCTCTTTGAAAAGGAAAATAGTGTAATACTTTAAACACATCTCCCTTAGGCCGTTTGCGCACAAACCTCGTCGTTTGGATCCTTTCATCGGTTTCATCCTTTCAATTTTTAGGTGTTGGGCCTTGAGCCAGATACCTATTGTTTTTGTAAGATTTTACTGTTTGTATTCTTCTCAGCATATTCTCAGGAATTCGTTTCCGGAACTGTTTGGAGAAATGGAAACATATATGAACTTCATTTGTCAATACATGAATGCCCAATCCACCGCAGATGGTCTTTTTTGTAATTACGTCATCATGACGTCATCATGACGTCATCATGAGTCACGTGACGTCACTCGAAAGTTTAATAAATTTAATCTTTGAATTTCCATATAAAATCAACAGTGAGAGACCAGAACCTGAAATTTGCGGGAATCGACATGGTAATACATGAACTTCATTTTATCCTGTGCGCGTAAAATCACGTGACCCTTCCTTCCGGTCGAAACCGGAAGTGCCTAATAATTTGAAAGTGGAAAAAGATATGAACTTGCTTTTAACGATTTAAGTGTCTGCCTGGATTGACCTTTCAAAAAAAATAATGGGTGACGCCATGAAGTGTTGGAGCGCCCTCTAGCGGCAGGTTGAAAAACATCAAAAACGCATTTTTTCACTTGATGTCTGCGGCGAAGTTTGCGGTAATCGCTACAAAATTAATGTTCATGATGACCATAATGCAGACAACACCTGTGCGCGAAAAAAAATTTATTACTTCATCAGACCAGAAGTTACAATAAAAAGACCTTTAAACCTTAAAAAATTGCTAGAAAATATACCGTGAGAGATATAATCAAGATTTGGCTGTATACAGCACAGTAAATATAGCTCTTGAGATTTTTGGTAATGACGTCACAATGACGTCATCAGGTATCATATTACAAGCAATCAAAGATTTCTAGATTTAATCTTTGAAAAGCAATGTAAAATCAACTGTTACAGATTTGATTTTGTTCTTTATGGCAATCGATACAATATTGCAGGGTCTTCATTTTTGGTATTAAGTGCAGCACGTGACCCTTCCTTCCGGTCGAAACCGGAAGTGCCTTATTATTTGAAATTGGCAGAAGATGCGAACTTGCTTTCAACGATGTGAGTGTCTGCCTAGGCAGTACTGTACAAACATATTACAGGTGACGTCATCAAATGTTAGAGCGCCCTCTAGAAGCAGTTTAAAAAACGTCTAAAAACGCATTATCACTTGATGTATGTGACGAAATTTGCGGTGATCACTTCAAACCTAACAAACATGATGAACCTAATGCAGAAAAGACCTGTGTGCGAAAAAAAATGGATGACGTCATCAGACCGGAAGTTATAAAGAAAAGACCTTTAAACCTTAAACAATTGCTAAAAAATCAACCGTGAGAGATATAATCAAGATGTGGCTATATATAGCAGAGTAAATATAGCTCTGGAGGTTTCTGGCGATGACGTCACAATGACGTCATCAAGTATCACATTACAAGCAAATAAATATTTCCAAATTTAATCTTTGAAAATCAATATGAAATCAACTGCTACAGATTTGATTTTGTTTTTTATGGCAATCGATGCAATATTGCAGGGTCTTCATTTTTGGTATTAAGTGCAAAATCACGTGACCCTTCCTTCCGGTCGAAACCGGAAGTGCCTTATTAATTGAAATTGGCAGAAGATGCGAACTTGCTTTCAACGATGTGAGTGGCTGCCTAGGCAGTACTGTACAAACATATTACAGGTGACGTCATCAAATGTTAGAGCGCCCTCTAGCAGCAGTTTAAAAAACGTCGAAAACGCATTAATCACGTGACCCTTCCTTCCGGTCAAAACTGAAAGTGACTTATTAATTGAAATTGGCAGAAGATGCGAACTTGCTTTCAACGATTCGAGTGTCTGCCTAGGCAGTACTGTACAACAATTTTACAGGTGACGTCATCAAATGCTAGAGCGCCCTCTGGCGGCATGTTGAAAAGTCAAACATGGATTTAAACATGCATATTTTGAGTTGATGTGTGTGGCAAAGTTTGCGGTAATCCATTATTATTATTATTATTATTATGCATTTAGGTACGCTATTCATAGTATAACTATATCACAGCGATTACAGTAGTAATGAGCAATATAACAACAAATCATTAAACATTATACAAACAAAACAACAATAATACATCAATTGGGAAAGAGGTATGTTTTGAGGCTCTTCTTAAACACATCCACTGATGGAGCAGATTTAATATAGGAGGGAAGTTCATTCCACTCCTTAGCTGCTGTAACAGTGAATGTACGATCTCCTGCCTTACTACGAGTCCTGGGAAAAGTTAGCCGAGATGGATCTGCATTGGAGCGAAGATTAGTACGCAAAGGTCGATACAACTCAAGACACTCATTAAAATACTCTGGGGCCTGATTATGAAAGAATTTGTATACAAATAAAAGAATCTTAAACACAATCCTCTGTTTAATTGGTAACCAATGAAGCGATCTTAGAAGAGGCATGGCATCATGACGGCGATCCAACTTAAAGATGACACGAGCAGCCCAGTTCTGCAAACTTTGAAGTCTCTTAATATGCATCTGTGGGACTTCTGTAAGCAACCCGTTACAATAATCTAACCAGGAAAGAACATGGCTGCGAATCACTTGATGGCATGCATCTTCAGATACATACTTCCTTATCTGTGACACATTTTTTAACTGAAATCGAACAGATTTGCAAAGCTGGTCTATTTGGTTAGACATAGACATATTGCAATCAAAATATACACCAAGGTTCTTGACTGATGTTGATGGTGCAATCTGGGTGGTTCCAAGTGTTAGAATGACGTCATTCATGTTGCGCAAGTTGTGTTTAGATCCAATTACCAAAAATTCTGTCTTTTGCTCATTTAAGTTTAAGTTTATTCTTTCCCATCCAATTACTGATATCCATAACACATGCTGAAAGGGTTTGTAATGCTGTATCTAGGCTATCTAATCCATGGCCCAACACCGTGTGGTTGTTGTGTGGTTGTTCCTACAACCTCTAGTTTTTCTTTTGTTTTAATCCCTCCCTTTTTGTACGTTCCAATAGCTAATGTGTATAACAAAATTCATGAGCAACAAAAATTATAAAAACAAGTACTGTAATTTATTCTGAGCGAGTGAAGAACTTTTTTTACATCGTGGCTTTCTTGGTTTTCGACTTGCAGTCCTTCCAAAACACCTGAAAGAAAAGCGGCAGAGCATTGTGTCAATAGGCCATCGTATTGATGGCGACACTAATTATGTGTGCGGGGCTTTTTTTATGGAGCTAGTGATGAGAACCAATAGCTCTGTAGAAAAAGTGCTCACCACAAAGTTTGTTATCATTGATACAAAATTTCCATTCCATAGAACTTGAATAATAGGCCTATATGTACATTACATGCTATCAACGCTGTAGTAGTCACCCATTACAGTGAATAGCTCTGTGCAGAGGATTAGTAAGGGGCCGTTCACAATTATCATCATTTTCACAAGTGTACAAAGAGTACACTTTTTCAAGACCCCCCCCCCTCCCCCCTAAAAGTGTACGAAAAAAATATTGAATTTTTTTTCACACAAGTCTATATATAGACACTTGCATGTGATTTAAAGGGTTTTTGTAACTTTTGTAGATCAAGTTTTTGGCCATGACATGTGACACTGGCCATTAAAAACACGCATGTACATGTACATGTACATACAGTACATTTTCATGTACGTGTGTAGGACAATGCCGCGCATGCTGTACACAATACGTTCATGGGATGCAATGCGAGGCCAGGCGCGGGGCACGACCGGCTCGGCAAGTGCTCGATCGGCATCGGTTGCGGCTATCGGCTGTGGCGACGGGCGAGAAAACAGATCGACATTTAAAAAAAAAAAAAAAGGGTTAGGCGGGCATTAACGGGCGAGAAAACATATCGACATTTAAAAAAAAAAAAAAAAGCGTACGGCAGCCATTAACCCCCTCCCCCGCAGCGTACGGTTTGTACGCTCGTAAAAATGTTGATAATTGTGAACGGCCCCTAAGGCTGCTGGTCTTTGCGGTCAGTGAGTGGAAGCTGCCACTGGGGGATATAAAACCACAGGATTCATTGTTATTAATATGGTGACTTGTATCGGGAGCCGGCAGTGCCAACCGTCGGACGGTTTGTAGAAACAGGTCACCCGCTTTCTTTGCAAGCGGGAGCCGATTAAAGAGGGGCTCAATTGAAAGCGGCTCCCAGTAAATGGAGCCGGTATTTAGCCCGTCCGCCTTACCGAAACATAACA